TATAGAGTATAAATACACAACTGTGTATTTATTTTAAGATATTGATAACCCTTTTCACTTGGTCAACCGTTACTAAAATTTAGTTAATTTTTATTACCAGTACAAAAGCATAATCAGTTAACTTTTTCTTTTCCAAAATCAATTTATATATTGGCAAGATGGCCAGCAAAATTAATTAGTTTTTTTTCAGATCGCCCAGAAGTATCCAGTAGTTTTTTTAAGATCACACAGAAGTAGCAAAAAGTTTTTTCAGATCACCCAGAAATTTTTTAGGAGATGGTTATGCTCCTACTTTTTGACTTTTTGTAGGTCCGCGGTTACTCGTGATTGAATATTCTCAAAGCAACTTGTTGAATTTTATACATTAAACTAGCTGTCCGCTGATATTTACCTGTTAAGACTGCATGTTCTGCTTTTTTCACGTAATTGTCTCTTTACAACATGCGTTTCTTTATTATTATTAAAATTGGTTTGGTGATAACATTTAATTTTGGATTTTTCTATACATTTTTTATACATCTATATCACTTTTTTATTTTATACAGTACTTTTTTTTATCAGCTTAAAACATCCTTAATTATATTAACTCAGGCTGTTTTTAAACCATTTTACAAAGCAAAAACATAATTACATTCTCCGTAGTTAAATTTTTTTTTTCTCAAAACAAGAAAATATATATCTTGTTTTAAGAAATAAATTGTGGGGTACGAAATTTATTTCTTAAAACAGAGAACATATTTCTTGTTTTCAGAAAATACTTTTTATAAGAAATGCAATTGCTGTTACACAATGCAGACACTTTTTTAAACTTTTAACCAACATTTAAAATTTTCATTTAAAAACTAAAGTAAATTATTAGTTAATAATGTAATTTTTTTTAAACATGAATAATTCTGAATAATTAATGATTAAATCCTTTTAAAATTCTTCAACGAACCAATAAATGGCATTTCAGTAAAGGTTTAATTATTAGCAGTTAAAACATTTGTGAAGTATCAATTATATACTTTGAATTCAAAACAGGTCCACTTTTTTTTTTAATGAATTTTCTTTAAATTGGCAGTGATAAAATTTTCGAAGCTTAGAAGTTTGGGACGTAATACCGCAACTTGCTTGCTTGTATTCTTTAATCAGTTTACTGATAATATTATTCATGAAGTTGTGAATAATATTATATGTAAACTGATACAAGAATACAAACTTTGTGTTTTTTTCTACAGAAAACTCATTAGCTATTCCAATAATATAATATAAAAAATCATTTTCAACTATTTTGGTGATTCAAAGCTACGTTGCGTTTAAATGTAAAACAGCCATTTAGTGTAAGATTTCGTAAAATAGAAATAATATTGTTAGCTATTAATAGTTCAAAATTTTGTTTCTCGTGTGACTTTTCGTTTGGAGGAATTGCATCCTATTAAATGCTGAAAAAATATTGTTAATCTAGTTTTTTTCCTCGGACGTTGGTGCTTTGGAATTCTCTTTCCTTTCTCTTACTCATGCAATTTGCAATTTCTTTTTTTAAAATTGCAATTTTTTTTAATTTCTAATTAAAAAAAATTACCTCAAGACTTTTTTATAAATTATTTAGCTGAAAACCGGATTGTCATAAAACAAATAATTTTTGTCAGTTCAATATTGAAATCAATAATAATAATAATCAATGAAAAAATAGAATAACAATTTATTGAATAAAACAATGTAATACGTTTCAGAAATAAAATAAAGTGTGATCGAAATAAAATAATTCTTGAACTAAAAAGAAAAGCAGAAATTTTATGCATACAAAAAAAAATAGCAAAATTAATAGTATTGATTTTAATGTTCATCAACATTAAAATCAATACTATTAATTTTGCTTTTTTTTTTGTATGCATAAAATGCTTTAGTAATCAATGATGACTAAAGCAGAACTCAAGCGTACACTTCATATGATAATGCATTACCAATAAATATGGTATCATGATATAAGAAATTATACACACAATCAGTAATTTATGAATTTATATTTCAAAGTAAATTTGTAATGTAATTATTATATGCATTAAATATTGGCTTAATAATAAATCGAGACTTATTTAGACTTAATTGAAATATTGGGCGTAAGCAAGTACATATGCCGACAAAGTATTTGGTGCAAATGATGTAAGTTTATCTTATACTCATCATAATTAACTTTAATAACATGCTAAACTCTTGAATCAATAAAGTGAGAAAATTATATGTTAACAAATAATTAAGTTAACAGTACTCATGCTCGTTACCAAATGGACAAAAAACTGTACCACAAATCTGATGTTTTATTTGATGCCACTAAGAAAACTGGCTGGTGAAAACCATTTGAAAAAGTACCTTGTAATAAATAGATAATAAAATTATAATCATATGGTATTGTTAGAAAAACACGTATTTGGATAGTAGCCTTACATTATCACATTACAGAAAACAACGAGTAATTTTTACTCGTAAGTATAATATGATGGTTAACAGTTAACAATAGGGTTTCGCAAGGTTCTGTCGTCGGACCTCTTCTGGCTTTTATTTATAATTATTACAAATAATCAATTTGATACAGCAGAATATTATCTTAAACTATATGCAGACGATAGCAAGATTATAAACAATATTAAGTCAAATGAAGAAAAATAAAAGTATAAATATATTACAATTAAATAATATAATATTATGAAATGATCGTCATTATGGTTAATGAAATTCAAATATGAAAAATGTAAAATTATCCTCATAGACTTAGAATTTCCATGTATAATATTACGTATATTTAATGTTCAATTCTGAAATTTAGCAAATTATTTAACAACATAATAAGCTGAACGTGATTTAGAAGTAATGTTGCAATTAAATATAAAACGGTCATTTCAAATTAATAAAGATGTCGGTAAATCAAATGATTGCTCTTATTAAATGGACATTTAAATATTTAGATTCAAGATTCAATTATATACAACTTTTGCATAAATACATCTTGAGTTTGCGATCCAAGCGTGGCGTCTTTGTTTGAAACAAGATATCTTATAGTTAAAAACAAAATACAAAGAAGAGCTAATATATTTGTAGCGGATTTGAAGAAAATATGAAAAAAGATTACATAAAATATTAATATAAAATATAAAATCAGAAAGTTAATCAGAAGATAAACAACTCAATATCTATAACTCAATTGATTTATTACAATTTCCGTGGTCATATATTCTAATGTTAGCCTACGAGCATTTGTTTTCAAAAAATACGTTATAAATGTATTTTAAATGTATTTTAAATGTTTTTTAAATGTTTTTTAAATGTTTTTTAAACGTTTTTTAAACGTTCTTTACATAAGAATGTTTAGAAGAGGTTTAAAAGACATTTTAAATACATTTAGAACGTAACTTTTAAAAACAAATACCCGCTGGGTAGCTAAGGCGTACATTAAGAGAAATACCAGATATAATTTTTTCTCAAGTATGCCGTAGAAGTTTAAAAGAATTTAAACTTAATTATTATTGAATTATAAAAAGTTGACCAAACCCGTAAAAATACGGATCTTTGTAATTCTACCCCACACCGAACTTTTTTATACTTTTTCCATATAGCTATCCGGAGCAGTCTTCACCAAACCGACTATTTCTATTCTTATCTATTCCACGCCGATCATTTCTATATTTATTCCTTATTTACTTTAATATTTTTTAGTAAATGGTAGAAAAACAATTCATTAAGAAAAAATTGCTTGAAGAGCAAAAAAACTAACGCACCTTTACCGCATAGATCTTATAAGAGATTTATAAAAAAAGTTTACATGCATAACATTGAAAGCTCATTAGTGTCGTTTTGCGCGGGTTGAAATCTGCACTCTAACACAATAAACTTTCAATTTTTTCAATCTGGCCGTATGTATATATTATTATGTATATTGCAAAAAAAAAACTTTAATTGTTAAAATAAATTTTTGAAGTTTTTGCTAGCTACGGGCTAATTTGTTTTACTATTTTTTTTGTTTTTGCCACCACAGCTGCACCTTCGTGAGTAGCAGGATGGGCTTATTAATTTTTTTCTTTTTTTGTTTTAGACCATAATTTTTTCGGACCATCCGCAGCTTATTAGGACTATTAGTTTGAACACATTAATAACATAAGTACCTCTATCATGACATATGCGCAACAAATTTCTTTCGGTGTTTTAATGTTTTTAGAAACATTTAGCTTTTCTTACTTTTGTTTGTTATAGTATATATATCTTTACATATATTATGTACATAATATCTATAGAATTCAAAAATTTTTTGTTTCGTATTCGAAAAAATCAAAAAAGGTTTAAAAAAATGTGTAAGCGTAAGAATTTGAATCACGTTAATGCACTTAAGAAATGCTGCGAGCTAGTTACTTTAGCCACTAAGGTTGTACGACAAAGTTTTAGACTATTTATTAAGTAAAAGACTTTATAAAACGGCAAATAAGAACAAAAATTCACCAATGTATACATATATACATACATTTTTTTTTAGGTTATTTAGTTGCTCCCAGAAGTCCTTACGGGTTTATCACGGAGCACTGCCAGACATACATTCATACATACATACATACATACATACATACATACATACATACATACATACATACATACATACATACATACATACATACATACATACATACATACATACATACATACATACATACATACATACATACATACATACATACATACATACATACATACATGCATACATACATACATACATACATAAATACATACATACATACAAACATATATACATATATATATATATATATACATATATATATATATATATATATATATATATATATATATATATATATATATATATATATATATATATATATATATATATATATATATATATATATATATATATATATATATATATATATATATGCTTTTACAAATAACTAAGAGTTTAGACTTGAATTAATTATACTATAATAAATAAACTATATATATTAAATTTATCTATTAAGGTCTTGGTTGTTCTGAATATTTACATTATAAATGGCATTGGTTTCTATTATCGTGCTGTTATCTTTTTTTTGCGGATTGTCATTCGTATTAAACGCGACGGTTATTTTTGTGGTACTTTCAAAAAGTTCTATAGACGCACGTGAGACAATATTAATGAGTCTTGCAGTATGCGATGGTTTGCAGAGCATTATTGGGTTTCCAAACGAGATTTATGGGTATGTCAACAAAGATAATCCGTTTAAAAGTGAAAGTTTATGCAAAACAAGTGGCTTTGTTGTAATGTGCTTAGCAATAACTGCTATCTCACACTTAGTTAGTTTATGTATATACCGATACGCAGCCATTGTATATCCTATGGAAACACAAGTGTTTGTTACTAGCCCTATTAAAGTTACTTTATACTTAGTATTACCAAATTGGATTTACGGATTATTTTGGTCAATAACCCCTTTTTTGGGGTGGAATGAGATTGTGCGTGAAAAACAAGATACTTATAGGTGTTCAATCAATTTGTATCCCAATGATCAAATAAAACAAAGTTATCTGTATGCACTTACTATTTTTTGCTACTTTTTACCATTATCAATAATCATTTATTGCATAATAAAAGTGCATTTAGAACTTCGGTGCATGCTCAAATTAGGCAAACAGATTTCAGGGGCAGATGCAAGCATTACGAAGGCTACATATAAATTAGAAAAAGAACATTTTATATCCGTTTTTCTTATTGTAGTTTCATTTTTTACTGTGTGGACTCCTTATTTTATTTGCGTTTGTTTCTTAGTTTATGGTCGTAGTCTACCTAGCGGCTTTTTAACCTACTGTGCTTTGTTTGCAAAGTCATCAACAATCATCAACCCAATTGTTTATTGTATTGTGTACAAAGAGTTCCGTCAAACAGCAATAAGCAAAGTTCGGAAACTCTTACGAAGGCCAGCTGTTGCACCAATGCTGGTGTCGCAACTTTCAACAGCAGCTGCACCAACATTAGCGCTATCTGGGTTATAATTTCATCTGATTAAATTAAAGTTAAAGACTATACTGTTCGAATAATTTTAATGATGAACTTTAAAACTAATAATGAAAACGAAAAAAATGCCAGTTAACTTATTACCATACATTCCGCTAAAAATGGTTAAAATAGCAATAAAAAATTATCAAAAAAGACAAAATGTGATTATAGTTTTTGTAATCAAATAGATTGCCCAAAACAAAAAGTTACTTTAATGTCTTACTCGAGCGCCCACGGGATTTGTTTTTATATTTCAGATGAACACTTTCACGTATTATGCAAACTGCAAACCTAAGTTTGTTCATGGCCATACCAAACGAGATAGCATTGCAAAAAATCGCGATGATGGAGGCGTAAGAACAAAAATACACTAATAGTTCGGCCCACCAGCACAAACATTAAGACAGATATATAGTAAAATTTTCAATTTTACTATTTTATACTATATTTAAAATCATTGCAAGATTTTGAATTTTATTCAAAAATATTATTAATTACAAAAGTAATGACCATGCAAAATTAACAACTCCTTTTTTTTTTGAGGAAGGAGGGGGGGAGGGGGGAAGAGGGGAGGGGGAGGAAGTTGAAATTTTGTTTGGCCATAACTATTTTAATTTACAATATTTTTTAATGAAATTTAAAACCTGTCGATGAATTTATGTTTTGTATAAGATAGTAAAGTTAAAAATATTACTACATAACTGTCCTTGCGTTTAAGAGAGGGTCTTTGAGAGTTTTCTGGCAAAACAAAAAGTTTTGTTTAGCCAGAAAAAGGCAAAAACCCTATACGTCACCCCCTTTAAGATCTCTTAGGGACGGCCCTAAATGTATATACAAATATATATACATATATATATATATATATATATACATATATATATATATATATATATATATATATATATATATATATATATATATATATATATATATATATATATATATATATATATATATATATATATATATATATAATTTATATGTTTATATAAAGTTTATATGCTTAAACTTATGTCAAGTAAGAATTCTTTGTAAAAAATTGCAATGATTGGAACCCTTAAATTTTAGCTACACTTAGCCTAAATGTGAGAGCAACAAGTGTTACATTTTTCAACAATGATACATTTTTTTTTTTTTTACTATTATTAACAAAATATATTCATCGATAAATTTTGAATTTCATATAATAATCTCTGAGTGCTCAAAAGTTATCAACTTATAAAATTTGTGACTCCCTAAAATTGAGGGAGCTCAAATTTTACATGGTCATAATTTTTAAACGCTCATAGATAAATGAAATTTAAAATTTATTGATGAATATAGATTTAGTTGAGAACAGTAAAAAAATACTTTTATCAACTTTTTGCTCTTACGTTTGGGGCAGGTGTAGCTAAAATTTTAGGCCTTTAGTGCTATATTATTAGGCCTTTTAGTGCGGCTGTGGCGCGGTGGTTAGAGCGCTTGCTACATAAGCAAGAGATCCAGGTTCGAAACGAGCTTTGAACATATTTTCGCGTCACGGTAATGAAGAAGGCGTGAACTTCCAGGTTAAATGCACTTCCGCGGTCCCTTGTAACAAGACCGTTAGGTCTTCATGGGGTACCTAAATAACAAAAACAAAAATTGTTCCCAGGCTCTAACCATTGCAATTTTTTCCAAAGCATCCTTATTTGACATAAGTATAAACTGTATTTAAATAGAGTGTGCTTTATGTATGGAAGTTAGCAGTCTCAAACATTAAAAAAATCATATTATTTATTTACCTTTCCTTTTCTGTAAAGTTATTATCCAATCATTTGTAGAGAATTATTATAAAAAGATTTATTTATTTACATTAGTTGGCTTTTTGCTGTTTTATTTAGACTTTCCTGTTTTTAATACACAGTTATATCCTCTTAATTCATTTTTAAATTAATTGATCCTCACCAAACCTATTGAAACAATAAAATAAATGAGTATAGATTTTCATAGTACTAATTTAAGTCTTGATTTTATTTATATTAAATTTTTAAAGAGATCGCCAAAAAAGTTTTAGAAAAACTATTATACTAGTTTATCTTTAAATATTAGCCGAGGTAAAAGGATAGTATAAAGCTTATATTTAACCATTAAGTGAGATTTAACATGAATATAAATTTTTATAATCAGAGCCATTTTTTAAGTGAAAAATAAAGCTTCATTAATATAAGCAATTAAAAAATAATAGTAAAAAAATAACCAGAGCAACTTAATAAAAAAATAATGCCTTAATTTAACGATATGAAAGAATTAGGAAAGTTATGCTAGTTTACGTTTTGAACATATTTGTAAAACATATAGCTATAAATATTTATGTTACCGTTATTCTACTTTCAGTTTATCAATGGCTTCTTTGTTTATAATTGTATTGCTGTCTTGTTTATGTGGTTTATCTGTTACTCTAAACGTTACCGCTGTTATTGCAATTATCTCAACTAAAAAAAATAAAGATGTGTGCGATGTAATTTTGATGAGTCTTGCAGTATCTGATGGCGTTGAATGCATATTTGGATTTTCCGTTGAACTCTACGGTTATGCTACAAAAGGCAAAACGTTACAAAACGAAACCTTGTGTAAAATAAACGGGTTTATTGTAATGTATCTTGCTCTGACTTCAATCTCTCATTTGGTTTGTTTATGTCTATATCGTTACATACTAATTGTACACTCGTTAAAAGCACAGAGGTATTTAACAAATGTTAAACAAAGCGCATTATACTTTATAATACCAAGTTGGATTTACGGATTGTTTTGGTCAATTGCAGCAATATCTGGATGGAATGAGATAATTAGAGAAAAAGTAGATACTCACAGGTGTACAATTAATATGTCACCTGATGACGAGTTAAAGCGTAGCTATTTATACTCGCTTACCGTGTTCTGCTTTCTTGTTCCTGTGGTCATTATTATTTACTGCAGTTTAAAAGTGCATTTAAAGCTTCAAAACATGTGGAAGTTGTGCGTACAGATTTCCGGCGAATATGCAGCTATCACAAAGGCTACATATAAATTAGAAAGAAAACATTTTATATTTCTCGGTCTAATTATAGGATCATTTTTTGTAGTTTGGACTCCATATGCACTCTGTGTTTTTTTCCTTGCTCTTCAAATTAAATTACCAAGAGTTTTATTAACCTACAGTGCATTATTTGCCAAGTCTTCAACAATTATCAATCCTACTATTAGCTGCATAATTTATAAAGAATATTTCCAAATCTTAAGAATTAAAGTTCAGAAACTTTTTAGAAATAATATTGTTTCACCAGCTAATCTATAAGCAATTGTAATTAACACACACAATTAAAAGTGAGGAATTTAAATATTTCAATCGATTATGAATGAGGAATGTTATGAATAAGTGAACATTTTTGTGTAATTAATAAATAATTATATTGTTCAATAATTATATAAAAAAATTATATAATTGTTATAATTATTATTTAATAAACATGATTTGAAATACTTACTGAAATGAACATGATTTGAAATACTACGATTTAATGTGCATACTAAATTTGTAAAATGATAAAAGTATCAAAATGAAAAAAAAATAACGTCTGTTCACAAAATATCCGGACTGATTTCAAATGTACACAAATTGTTCTAAATTTCGAATTTTCGATTCGAAATTTTTAAATTTAATCGGTCAACAACAACAGTTTCATTTTGTGGCAAAATTGAGTTTAAAAAATTAATTCAAATAAACATGGAGCATCTAAGAGAGAACGATGTTAGAAATGTGATTGGAAATTTTTATAAACAAAACATAAACAGTGAAAAGAAATTTACAGTGGATCATTTTAAGAAAATGGGAATCGCTAAATCTGCATTTTATGACATAATTAAAAGGTCTGAAAATAATTTGCCAATGAAAAGAAAAATCGGTTGTGGCAGAAAACCTTTTAAAATCACACCAGAAAAGATAGAGTCCATGATTGCAAGAGCAGAAGAGAGAATCGGGATTTCGCAAAGAAAATTGGCACTAAAATATAAGATAAGTGTTTCATAAGTAAATAGATTATTAAGTATGCATGGACTGAAGTATACCAAAAGAAAAAATGCACCAAAAACAACAGAAAAGCAAGAAGTTAAACAAAAGAAAAACCTATTAAAACTTTCAAAAACTTTTTTCAAGCCATCAAATGAGTTTGAAATCATCATGGACGATGAATCTTATTTCTGTTTTAATGGTGCAAATTGTTCACAAAAATCTGGCTACTATACAAAGGATAGTTCTCAAACTGATTCTAACATTAAATTCAACTTCAAAAAAAAGTTTGACGAGAAAGTTCTCGTTTGGATTGCAATCAGTCGTTTCGGTCATTCATCGCCTTATTTTGCTGTAAAAAACTGTGCACTCGATCCAAAAACTTATTCTAAAGAATGTATTACAAAAAGACTTATCCATTTATAAATTCCAAGCATCAAAACATGAAAATTTTATTTTGGCCTGACGGAGCGAGATGTCATTATGCCAAACACACATTAAAAACTTACAACACTTTAGGTATTAACTTTGTCGACGCTAAAGATAACCCCCTAAATGTACTGCAGTTAAGGCCAATTGAAAATTTTTGGGCACATTTAAAAGCAAAAGTTTATGGAAATGGATTTACTGCGAAAAATCTTGACCACCTTAAGAATATAATTCGATTAAAGTTAAAAGAGTTCGATCCAGACTACTTTTTCAACCTAATGGATTCAGTCAAAACTAAAGTTCGAAAAGCCGCTGATTTAGAACCACTTTCGGTTATAAAATAGTTAACGATGTCTAGTCTCTCATTTTAGTTAAAATTTTTGTCAAAAATCGATTAATTTTGTATTCAATTAAGAACAATTTTTCATTCCGGATTTTTTGTGAACAGACGTTGATTTATAAATTTTATGATATATTATGATAATGTACATATTTAAAAATTTACATATTTTGAAATTATTTTTGTTAAAAATAACTTAAGTATCCCAACCCGCACATCTAGTTTCTTTTTCTCAATTAAAACCACGTGTTTGTCAAGATGCAGGCGTAAACCAAATCAAGTGTGTATAATAGTAAACTTGTTCGTAATATAGAATATAATGCAATCAGTTTTACTCTAGTTAAACACATGTTTTTTAAGGTTTTAAAGTAAAATTCATATGTCGGATGCTTTTATCACTAGTTTAACATTCCTTACGAAATACCACTTACCGTTTACCATTTTACCATTTCCTTACGGAAATTATTACAATATAAATACTATGTTTCCGTAACGGTGGAAGAAATTCTGTTATAAATAATAAAGCAATTATATAATTGCTTTATTACTTTTGGTAAATAGTAATAGTTAATTTCTTTTCTGAGCTGTGCGGGCTGGTATTGTTTTAAAAAAAATCGTTTATTTAACAAAAAAATGTTGCAACAAGAAAGTTTAAATTTAGATGAAACTACTTCCAACATAAAATCAAATTAAAAATAGCACGCAGCACTGTTTATATTTTAGTCACGCGACGTTAAAGTCAAAAGCTATATATAACGTGCTATTTTTACCACGTGCTATTATAATTTATAAACAGCTGTTTATAAGTAGTATTGCACGTGATTAAGTTATAAATAGCACTGCGGCGCTTTTAAAAAAAACTTTCAACGGTGCCGTGTTTCAAGCTATCAAAAATAACAATATTTAAAATTTGTTTGATTCTCCAACAATATCTAGTCCATTAGTTTTGGGAAATGCTACCAATACACCAAACACACCGTCAACTATGTCAAATCGTTAATTTTTACTAAAAAGCTTTGCTGCTTTGAATAATGCCGTTCAACAAGTGGGAAAAGATTTAAACAAAACCAGTATTAAATATGCTTTGAGATCAATTGACACTAACTTTAAATAAAAGAGTTCAAAAAGGTGAGAGAATAAAGCGACCAGCTAATTATAATATGACTTAGGCGGATGTCATAGCTTACGATGAAGCTGAAAAAGTATCAAAAAAACAAAAATTAAATGAACAAACTGCAAAGAAATTGACTAAACAGCAAAAGAGGTTACCACTGCTACTCATAAAGCAGAAAGTATACAGAAAAGAGAAAAAAAGAAAAAATTGAAACAAAGTCATTCGGCTGAAACATCAGGTAAAAAAGGTCGAAAGAAAAAGAATCAATCAGAAGACCCACATTTACCTCAAGCTTCAAAAAGCATTTTAGTATCTGATGATCGTCTTTATTATTCTTGCGAAAGTCATTGGGCAAATAGCTTAGATAACCAACGGCTTGCATGTGAGCAGCGTTCTAATTAGTCATTCATTGCATGTGTCGCTGATTAACGTCCAACTATGGAATTTATTCGTAACGAATGTGAATAAAATAATATATTTTCTTTCTTAATTAAACAATTCTATTTTTTTAATTGATTAAATTAATTATTTTTTTGTTAGTATTAGTTGTGTGTGTGTTTTTCTATGTTTTACACGCATCCGGAATTAGGGACATAGACACCTAATTCCGGATAAAAATAATGCTTTTTAAAAATAAAATAAAATAGAGATTTTAATTACAAAAAAAAAGTTTTTTATATCGTTCGATTTGTCTTGTTATGAAGTTTATTTATTATAAAAAATTATTCCGAAATCTTTTATAATGAGCGAGTTATGATGATTTAAGTTTTGTCTCACAAGTTTTTTCTCACAAATTTTTGAAAGAGTGTCAAACATTTCGGAGCGTATCAACTTAAATTGGACTGGGAGTTAAATAAAATGCCATGTCAACAGTAGCAAATGTAGCAAAAGTCAATTTATCATGTTTTGAAATGACTCTACACATACCCCTGATAATTTATTATATATTAAAGCTATTTAAGTGCAATCTTTTTGTTAACAAGGAGGTCTTACGTAGTGACTAAAAGTCATCAAACGAGAACCTGTAACAAAAATAGAAGCTGTTTAGCAAAGACAGAAATTCTGTTAAATATCCACTCTCCGTTAATAAAACTTTTAATGAAATGAATAGCAATCATTTTATGAAAACGATAATTTTTGATAACCAGATCGTATACTAAAGTTTTGCTTGACGTTTTAAAACGTCTAGCAACACCTTGTGGAATATTATGACTTAACAGATCAGATCATATAGACGTTTTAAAACGTCTAGCAAAACTTTAGTATATCTCCTAGGAAATAAATATTCTCTGAGACAAAGTATGTTACAAAAATGTTATTATATCAGGGAGTCGCTGTTCTTGGAAAACCAATGTAATGAATTCTTTTTTAAAAAGTATTTTAGATGTTATGATAACTTGTAAAACAAGTTGGTCCTAAATTTGTTTTGAAAATGTTGTGAAAACCTATAAACAAATTCCTAATTTTTATGTGATAAAATTTATTTAATTTTAGAATCAGTAATTAAATATAATAGCAAACCAAAGGCATGATGATCAACAAACTTCCTCAGAGATCTAAATGATGAACAAAGAAAGTTTGTTTTGGATTTTGGCGATACAGCATTAATCTTGAAAAAAAAATCAGAAAATAGGCATAAAATATCAACACATGTTACAAAGCATTTCACAAATTATACTTGTGAAGAAATAGTCTAACTGATTAAAATGCTATTAAAAGAAACACTTTTGTTCAATATTTATTATGTTAGAAAAATTTGCTGCAGAATTACTTGTGACATAATTTAGAAATTTAAACAACGTCAAATTCAAAGTAACGTACTTCCGCTCTAAACGCATGGGAGAAGAGAATAGTGCTAGGGGACTTTATGCACCACTATAAACCACTATACATCCAAGGCTGAAGCGAATGGCGTGTGATACCCCCTCCCACCATATCAATGAACTTTAGTTCATTAAATCTGTAAATTTAGCTCTTTCAGACCAGCGAGTTGGCATATGTAGACCATATAGTGAAGTCGGCATTACAAATTTAAAAAGTAAATGATATAATCAAAACTAAAAATTGTTTATTTAAGAAACAAAAAACTACCTCCTATATTTAATAAATATTCTACGCAGTTGGCTGTCAATTTTTATTCTACGCAGTGCAATTGGCTGTCAACTTAAAAGAAATTCTTGTAGAGGTGCACTGAGTGTGCACACATGTAATACAAAATCCTACAGTAAACATTCCTTTAAATACTCTGCATTAATGGGCTAGAATCAAATTCAAATTAAATTAAAAATAACCCTTTTTTACATTTTAAAAAAATATGTCTTCAAAACTAAATTAAAATACTACTTGTTACATCAAGATTAATAGAAACAACAATTGTATTATTTTAAGAATATTACAAATTTTGTAATTATCTTCATTTATTTTGTTATATGATGAAGATAGTTAACAAAAAAAAATCTTTAAATATGTTTGGTTTTTATATAAAATCATTTTATTGACGATTTATAATTATTTTGAAAAGATTTAACAGTACCAATGCTACTAGGTATTGATTCCACTAAAAAAATCCAAAATAAAAAGAATAATAGACAAATGACATCTTAAAAATTTAAATATATAATAATGTTTTGATTACATAAACTATATAATAATCTTATGATTTTTAAAACGCTTTTGAAAAAATAATTCATAATTAGATCAGTGGGTATAACCAAGGACATATTAACATATTGTTTAAAAACAAAGATATCTGTGCTATTAATTATTCTAAATAACAATAGCAAAACAATAGGATAATAGGAAATAATAGGAAACAGTTGTCTAATGTAAAAATACTTTTACATGATTATGCATCAAAATGACAACTTTCTCATCAGTTTAGTTAAAAAAAAAAGTTTTATGTGAATATAATTTACTGTTTTTTTTTTTTTAATATTCTATATATTTAGGTCTCTTCATAAGTGTCCGTTTTAGAGTTGTTTCATATTCAGGCATCCGCTACTAAAACTTTTAAAAGTTTTAACGTGCTTTTACGATACATGCTAAAGACATGAAGGAAACAGCCTTAATAAGTTATCAAGTTTTCGTTAAATTTTATCGTTTAAAGCTTAAAGTTAAAGTTAAATTCGGCAAGAATTCTTTTATTGTCAAAAAAAACCCTTATGATTTTCAAAGTAAAAGAAACCTTATGATTTTCAAATAAAACCTTATGATTTTCAAATAAAACCTTATGATTTTCAAAGTAAAAGAATAATGTAGAGTAAAAGTAAAATGTGTTTGAATATTTTTATATTTTCAAACGCATGAGATATTCTTAATTACATAAAATCTTAATTTCAAAAAAGTTAGTCTTTTACGGATAATAAAATTAGCAAAGCAAAAACGTCGGTTTAGTTTGTAAAATTATTTAAAAAATTCCATGCACGAAAGTCTTGACCACTCACAGAAAATACCAATATATGTTTATATGTGTGTGAGTGCGTGTGTTTATATATATATATATATATATATATATATATATATATATATATATATATATATATATATATATATATATATATACATATATATATATATATATATATATATATATATATATACATATATATATATATATATATACATATATATATATATATATATATATACATATATATATACATATTAGGGTAGGTCGATTTTAATTCCGCATATTGCGTAATATTGCAGTAGTTGTAGACAGTTAAAATATGATTACTCTTAAAATTTGAGAGATTTTGGATGAAGAATCGCTTGCGGATTTAATTTTTAAGATTTGTTGGATTATGTAAAAAAACACCTTAAAAAGCGTTATATGCAAAACTTGACGTTTTAACTATTCATATTTAAATGTTTTTCAATACTATTTGCTTTGCTGTATGATTTAAGTTTATAATAGTTTATAACAATTAAGCTAAATTTATAGCAACTTGTTAACTATTTGAAGATTTAAATAGTGAAACTTTTATTCTTATATTTACATAAGAATATCAAAATAAACATTGTTTTCACAATTTAAAACATTTTGGTTATGGATATATATATTTTAGGAAAATATTTTCAATTAAAAAATATCATCATAAGAATGGGAATAATGCCTTTTTGAAATATACGGTTTACGCATCTTCCTGCTTAGTAGTTTAGTTAAAATGCAGCTGTGTCGATTCTCGAATCCATAAACATATTGGGATGCGTTCGACAGAAGTTTTACCGCTCACTCAACACTCTGGGAATGAGATGGAAAGTCGGGGATTTCAGGTTTAACATTATTGTCAATCGCATATTGGATTTCCTCAACTGAAAAATGTTGTGTTGTTGGGAGCTCCGTAAATTTAGTAATGTTGATATCTACCAACTCATACCAATGATTAGCATTAAAACTTATTTCTGGAATTTTTTTTCCAAACTTTCGTTGTTTACTCTATAAATATAAATCAAATCCAATTACCACATTTAATGTATCATTTTTTTTCAAAACTTTATTTTAGTTTACTATAAAAAAATACCTTTGCTTTAGACCCAGTAGGATTTGAAAACCAAAGTTTCGTATCTTGCTGTCATTATCTTTTAACATGGCATAAAGAATATTTTCAGGTTTTAGGCACAATGCATTGTTTTTAATGTTTTTTTTAACAATATGTTTAACATCATCAAAGGGGAGATTATTTATTCTAGTGATAATAGAAAAAATAAGGCGCGGGGATTCGTGAAATTTTGAAGATTTTTTTATATCGAACTACGCTGGAGCGTAAACCTGAACAATAAAACATACAAGTTTTTTTTAAAGAAACAGTTGGTTGATTGTCTCTAATATACAAACAGAGAAGGCAAATAGCTAGACTTGCATGGTTAAGCGGTCCAGTATTTGTAGCAGTATTATCAAGAAGAACAGCTTGTATACTTTCCAAACTGTTAAGTTCTTGTAAAACACTAAACGTTTCGGTAGCAAGAACTAAACCTGTAGCACCGGTGACAGGAATCGTCCGATGAGTCAAATAATTTCCACTCGATTTTCCATCTTCATAAGTAAATGTGAGTTGATGTTCAAGTTCAATGCATTTCTTTAGTACTTCTCCTTGAGGTAAGTTTATTACTATATTTGTTTTAGTTATTTGATCGAGCTTGCTGTCAATCCCAAGACAAATTAACTGTTTTTTTTGTTCTGAGTCCACCTCTTCACTAACGATTTTTACTTTTGACTTGGCCCTATCTAACTTGCATTTGTCAATCAAAATATCTTTAATATCAACGTCATTTTTCAAGAGATGTTTTATGTCATGTAGTAAAGCATTTGCAAGGACTGCACCTATGTTTGACGAACACTCATTTCTGACTAATTCCATTGCAAATCTTGGAAGTTTAACTAAGTTGTATTTTCCAATAGGATTATTTACTGGTTTCCATTCACCTTCATCCTAAAAAGAGTTAATAAAATAAAACGCTTTCTGTTTTATCTGTTACAAATATTTCATGTATTTATAAAATATTTACCTCCGTATTGGTCAAACCACTTGTTTCTTCAAGTAAGTTTACTTGTGCTATGAGGAATTCATCTTCATTAACTCGGTTATGAGATATTTTTTGTCGTTCTTTATCAAGTCAAGAAGAAAATTGATATGCACCTTTTGGACAAATTTTTTTCCTGTGATCACGAAGATTAGCTCTGTCTTCCAGAGGTACTTTATTACTTTGAGAACAAAGGCATACAATATGTTCTTTGATGCAATTTTCTTTATTACATGAAACTTTTCTGTCACTACAGGGAAACACATCTAATGAACAGGAACACGCAAAAATATCAAAAAGTTTGTCCAAGTTTGCATCAAGATTTCTTTTAGCGCTTGCTTTTCCGTGCTTGCGATCAACACCCTTAACAAGTACGAGAAGATCTTTAACTTTCCTATTAATAGATTTGTCAGTTATAAGAGGTAATCGTGTGTTTACTGTAGCCCGAATTGATTTTATATTATTGCTAATTTGCTGAGTCACTAATACGATATCTGCATTTGGATTTATATGAATAAGATAGTAATAATACTGAATAACCTGTCTAAAAGTGCTTGGAATGTGTCGTTGATAGTTCACATGGGCCGCCACAATATTTTTTTTCATTTTTCATCCGTGTAATTTCAACCTTTACTTTCGGCATTTTTGTAGATTAATTATATATGAAAACTGTATTAAAGTATTAGAGTAATGGGCAACAGCGTGAGTTTTTAGTGGGGGCCAAAGCATCTAAAAAACCTAAAATATCAAAACTTACTATTAAAAACCTGCTTTGATAAAAAATAAAGAAATAAAAACTCTTTTAAAAAGATTTGGGGGCCATGAATTCAGGAAACTCAGGAATTGAGTAAAACCATTAGTTCCATCGAAAAGTTTTATACTTTAATCTACTTCAGAAATTGCAAATCAAAACTTATGTAATATAAACAGTTTAAAACATTACTCTAGATATAATAATCATAAGTATTTACTTTTGATATTAAAAGATTTCTTTAAATTGCAGTTTTATTTTTAAACCTACTTTTAAATAAATTTAACTTTAAAACTAACTTTAAAATACAAACAAGAAATTTTAATACAAAAAAGATTTGCTAAGTTTAAATGCGTGTAAACGATTGGCTTCTTAAAACAATTGCGCTTGTTTATTGGTTACTTTATAAACTCAAAAGGAGATATTTTAAAACGAGATTACTTGACTTAAAATAAAATTTTGCAACGTTTGAAATAAACAATCTAACAAAACTAGTCCAAAATTAAGACTTAAATTGCAAATCCGCAAGCCATTCTTAAACCAGGATACTTGAGATTTGGTAAAACCTCATTTCTAACCTAGACACAGTAACTTCAACATTACGCAACTCAAAAGTCAAAAAAAAAGCTAAAATCGACCTACCCTAATACATATATATATATATATATATATATATATATATATATATATATATATATATATATATATATATATATATATATATATATGTATATATATATATATATATATACATATATACATATATATATATATATGTATATATATACATATATATATATATATATATACATATATATATATATACATACATACATATATATATATATATATATATATATATATATATATATATATATATATATATATATATATATATATATATATATATATATATATATATATGTATATATATATATATATATATATATATGTATATATATATATATACATAGATATATATATATATATGTATACATATACATATATATATACATATGTATATATATATACATATATGTATATATATATATATATATATATATATATATATATATATATATATATGTATATATATATATATATATATATATATATATATATATATATATATATATATATATATATATATATATATATGTATATATATATATATAATATATGTATATATATATATATATATATATGTATATATATATATATATATATATATATATATATATATATATATATATATATATATATATATATATATATATATATATATATATATATATATATGTATTATATATATATATATATATATATACATATATATGTGACTCGACACGTTTTCAAAATACAGCGTTCATTTGTGAAACGAGTAACTTCTTAACTAGAATTACTGATTTTTCCATGACTATCTAAAGAAAAAAATAATTTCTTGACTTTTCCAGGTTTTCCACGACTTTAGCCAATATTAACAAATTTTCCAGATTTTCAAGGTACAGTACGGACCTTGTCCAATGTTTGTAAATAATTTTTTTTACATATTTTAGTTATGAATTTTAATAAAACTATTTTTAAAAATAATATCATCTATAAAAATATTGTATTACCTTTGTCTATTAGATAAATTTAAATAAACGTTTATATAATGAATAATAATGAATCACCAGCAACTGTTAAAACTTTAAACTGATATGAATACTGATATAAATACAAATACTGTTGTTTTTTTCAACATTTGATTTCAAATGGCTTTCAAAGTTGGTGACACCAACTTTGAAATCCAACAAAAAATTTTTGTTACGTTCATAAACTTAAATGTTTTTAAAACAACTAAAAAACCTGGCCATTTTTTCGCAACTAAATATATTTTCTGTGGTCAGTATTCGAGAGCAATCGCTCCGGCTTCTTGACCAAGCCTGTGGTGTAAGCTTTGATATTTTGATTATTAAATACTAAAATGTTAATTAACACTCTGACTTTTTGACCGTAATATATGAAAAAGTTTTTAAAATTGTAAAAGTTAAAGCTATGAATAAAGATTTTCAATCATTAGACACTTACCATTTAATAATTTTGTTCATTCAACTTCTCAGAGCAAACATTAAACTTCTGTAAAAATTTTGGAGTTACAGGTAAATCCAAAAGTTTAATAATATTTTTTGTTTTATTATAAGAAAATGAGGATAAATCATCTACACCAAGATATACACAATTTTTTGTCTCTTCAATCTTTATTTTGACTGGTCATTTTCGCTGTCTTCCTTTTTTGTCTCCAGAGCAGAAATTTAGCCTTATGCTAAATTCAATCTTGTATTGCTTTAAAAATCTATAAATCAAACCATTAATAATTAAGTTATAACTAAAGTTAATGTCGCTGTCTTCCTTTTTTGTCTCCAGAGCAGAAATTTAGCCTTATGCTAAATTCAATCTTGTATTGCTTTAAAAATCTATAAATCAAACTATTAATAATTAAGTTATAACTAAAGTTAATGTATAAGCTTAAAGTTGTTAACTGTTGTACGCAAACTAAATATGAAAAACATCCAGAGATATTAAATTAAAAAATTAATTAAACCAAGAAAAATGTCCTCGGAAAGATGAAATATTAAAAGCTCTACATAAGTAGAATATAAGTTCTAGTAACATCACTTTTTGTACACTGTTTTAATATGTTAGTAGATGGGGTTTCATAATCAAACACATAAAAAATTAAACAAAATAGACATATTTAAAATGTAAAATATCAGCTTCTAACAACTTCAATGCCACATATATATTATTGATACCTTTAATAATATATCTTATAATAGCTATAATATAGCTATTATAAGATATATTATTATAAGATATATTATCTTGAGTCAAGATGAATTATCAGCCTTTTTAGAAAAAGATAGAGTAACTTTTGCTGAAATGAAAGAAATTTTTTTATGTAATGAAAGAGATATGGGTGTTTCATCAGTATGTTTTATGATTAATAGCATTATTCATTTGCAATGACAAGGTTACTCAAATGGGGTTCCATTATTTGTAATCAAGATTAGAGACGATTTACATTTTGAAACTTATTACTATGGGGTCAAAATTAAAATTCCTACAATTTCTAAAAACAGAGTTTCAAAAATTAATGCATGGTCAATATTAGAAGAAGTCCTACGTTATTTAAAGAGTTTGATTCCTGGAAGAAAAGAAATTGTAATTCAAGAACATTTAGCTTCTATGGGTACACAGTGTGTTGGATTTATTCTAAAGAAATTATTATTAGACCTTTTCAGTATTTTGCTACATCCAGAAGTTTGTATAATCAATTGCGAACAGATTACCAATTGCCTTCTGTAAGAACTTTGACAAGAATAACTTCAAAAGTTTCTAAATTAAACGAAAAACTTTTTTTCACTAATATTTTTCAATCTATTGAAGAAAAACAGAAAATTTGTTTGTTATTGCATGATGAGGTTTATGTTAAAAAAATGTTGTTATATCATGGTGGTACATTGTTCGGAAAAGCAATGGATGATTCAACTTCTCTTGCAAAAACTGTATTGGGTTTAATGGTTAATTGTTTATTCGGTGGACCATCGTTCATTTCCAAAATGATACCTATAAGTAAATTAAACTCTCAATTTCTTTTCGAACAAATTAGCATTACTATCCAATCAATAAAGGAATCATCGGGTCAAGTCAAAGCCATAATATGTGATGGAAATAGAATTAATCAGGCTTTTTTTAAAATCTTCGAATTCACAGTTCCAAGTAAACCTTGGTTGACTAATGATGGTGTTTTCCTAATCTTTGATTATGTACATTTGCTTAAAAACATTAGAAATAATTGGCTTACTGAAAAAACTGGTCAACTTATATTTTATGATAAAGGGGTACAAAAAGTAGCACAATGGGATCACCTGAAAAAACTTTACGAACTTGAATCTAAAAACTTAGTTAAATTGTCTAATTTAAACGAAGTTTCAATATTTCCGAAGCCAATCGAGAGGCAGTCAGTGTCTACTTGTTTAAGGATATTTTGTGACAAAATTTACCATGCTTTGATTAATCATCCAGGACTGCTGCATATAAAAGAAAGACAAGACACAGCAGATTTTATTAACATTGTCGTATCATGGTGGAAAGTTCTTAATGTTAAAGGAACAGGTGCAGATGTTAGGTTTAATAATGAACTTCAAGCAGTTATTAGAGATCCTAATGATAATAGATTAGAAAATATTTTAGATTTCGGAAATATGGCTTTAAAGATGGCTGGAAAGCAAGGTAAAAGGAAGAAACAACTTACTTGTGACACTGCACAATCAATTTACCATACGTGCAATGGTGTTGTTGAATTATGTCGTTCATTATTGAATAGCTCACACCAATATGTTATT